TATTTTTTATTAAAGAGGTAATTTAGTCATTTTTTTATTTTTTTTATTAAAACATTTTAAATCATTTATAATTTTTTTTCTTATTTCCTTATCTTTCCTATTATTTTTCTCTTAATCCAACCAACTTCACTTTCACCTCTCTTTCTCCTTAAATCTATCCTTTTTTACTCTTTCAAATTCATCCTCCAATACAAATAAGGGATTATGTTTTAATTGGGACTATATTCCAATATGTTTATAATCTCGTAGTATTATTTAGGAGTTAAGGTCAATAATAATTTATATACACCTTATTATTTTAATTCATTAAAACACTTTAAAAAATCAAACGTATAATACCTTGAACCTTAAACGTATTAATGATGATATCAATATGAGATATTTTATTCCTAAATACAATAAGTTTATTATATTTTAGTTCCTAAAACTTATAATAATTATGATTTTAGTATCTGAAATTTAAAATAATTTTAAATCCTTTAAATTTAACATTTAAAAATAATATTTTAATAAATTCAAAGGGACTAAAATAAATCTTATTTTTATTAGTGGACTAAAAAATTATTTAGTACAAATTTGAGGGAATAAAACATAAAAACAATTAAATCAGGAAATCAAGTATATTAAAAAAATGTAATACAAAATGTTTCTATTTGAAAAATTAGAGATAGCAAAATTATAGATCGAGCAAAATAGAAGGAATAAAAGTACATTTAAGCCAAAAATTTATTAAAAATTACGATTTATTATACACATTATTTTTAGAAATTTATCTTAAACATGAAAAAAAAAACTATTTTTAAGCTTTATATATTTTAAAAAAATCTATAAAAGTAAATAACATAAACTTTTAAAATATAATGTATAAAATATTAAGGGTTATTATTTTAATATTTTAACTGCTCTTTAAACCAATATTAGACATAGTTATATTCGTGATTCATATAAGTTCTTACATTTAAATGATTTTAGCTTTTTATTAATTTTTATTAACTAATTTTATTTTATTTACTATATTTTGACAATTATAATACTGATATTATTATTTTATTCCATATTAATGCATAAAATTCAACTTATAAGAAAACATAAATAAAAAGTAAGAGACTTTAATATTATTTGGTTTCAATCTGCAATTTTAGGCCTCTATTTTTAAATGAAAACATATGACCACCTATTTTAAAAAATTCGTAATTTTGGTCCAATTCATAAATTTGTATATATTTTATTTCTCTTACTTTGGCTGAATTGAGCTTTAAATCTAAGACATTCATTCAAGGTGTAAAAAACTGATTAAATTAATTATTATGTAAGAAATAAAAATAAGGAGTATAGATAAATTTAAGAATGGAACCAAAATTTTTTATTTTCTAAAATTTGTGGATCAAACGTTTCAGGTTTAGAATGAAGGAAACAAAATTAAATAAAAGAACCAAAGTTGTATTTGAGCCTAAATAAATGGTTCTTAGTGATTTTTTTATTACAAAAAAAAATTAACCTTCATTTCTTTAATGAATGATTTAGCATATCGCCTAAATTTTGAGGAAAAATAATTGAGTAAGGTAGGTTAGTTACTTACAAGTTATAGTCTTGGGTAAATCACTGACTGGTAGGAACTTGTACAAGTTAGCTTTCCAGTGGTGAAGAAAATGTTTGGTAAATGGGTTTGATTTAGTCTACTTAAACCGTCTTAATAGGCGAATCAAATTAAGGTATTCAACTTACCAGTCTTTTTTAGTCTGATTTTATTTTGGTCTACCATGGATGTGAGTATTTCATAAGTGCTTAAAACTTGTTGAGCGAGGCTCACACCCTACCTGAGGTACATAACATTTTCCTTTTGTGATTCTCAGTTCATCATTCTTAAGTTCACAAACTTAGACCATACATGGCTTCACCAAGGACAATCAATCTTTAAGTTGCTCACAATCTTTTCGGATATTTTAACGGCTCAAATGGATTCAAAATGTTTATAGGACACATCATCAAACTATAACCATGAACATGACAATTAATAAAATTTATTTTCACCCAAAACACCATAACAATCCTACTAAGGAGTATTCAATAAGCATCACATGCCGATAAGGTCCACCTAACTACTAAGAGAGTACAAAATCACTGGATTGGTGCATTATGAATTTATGACTCCCAACTGCGCGCCATCAAACAGTCAAAGCTACAACCACAAGTGGTCTGTCAAAAAAAAAGCTACTGACCGCAAAGTCTGTAGAAGCAATTGTAACTGAGAATTGGGGCTCATCCTCATCCAGAGTGATTGTCACAGACTCACAATCATTAGCCACAAAGCTGAGGTTTAAAAGAAAATTATCAATGGGAAATACAGCAGCGAAGTTGTTGGTATTTGTGGCAGACTGGTTGGGTTAAGAAGATAAAAAGGGTATGGATTGGCGAGAATTGGTCTTAGGGAGATGGATTTTGGTTGAAAAATGATAGCAATTTTCTCTAGGAGTGTTGAAGCTGGTGGTGTGTGGGTGTCCTACACTGGTAACATAATCCATTAGTTGAGTAGTTAAGGCTTTGGTTGATTCAAAGGCTACGCAGTGACGTTCGGGTGTGTCTATCATCTATCCCCCTCTCAAATACGTTCAATTATGATCTACCTAACTAATATCGACTTTAGATTACCACTGGACACAATACCCTCTCAGGGAACATAGATTGAAATTTGCATTTCAATTTGGTGTACGATAATCTATCTATTACCAGTTATACAAAGCACCAACAGCGTTGATCCATTTCTAAAAAATGTCAAAGCCGGACAGAGTTAATAATCAAACCAAGACCTACACAATGAACACAAAACTACACTCTACATGTATATACTGAGAGAGAAAGAGAGTTAAGATTTTATTTTTATACTTCTAATTTTTATGATATTTAAATATATAAATTACGTAGTTTGATAGTTAAATAATTTAAATAATAATAATAATAATAATTAAATAACAAATTTAAAATTATACATTAAACTATAATATAATATAATTCTCATTCTTTTTCTTTGGTATTTACTTAAACTAAAATATAATTAATAATTTAATTTATAAATTACTAATAAATGTAATAGTAAATTAAGTTGTAAAATGTGCTCTGACAAGTTTCGTTCCAAGCTTGATAAAATCTGACAAAGCTGAGATAGGATATAATATCACAATTAATAAGAAAGTGGCTACTTCGTAACCTTATGGTCGAATTCCAGCTTGCAAGCAATTTCCGAAAATTTAATTGCTCATAGAGTACACAAACCTCAGTAAATAGGTCAGTGATTTCAACTCTCAAAAGCTTGAGTTTACATTCTGATAACAAAAATTAAATTGAAAGTGTCATGACACGAATAACTAATTGTCTTTAATTCAAAAGAGTACACATAATATGATTCCCGATTCAGGTAAGAGTATAATTTATTTGTAAAAGATACCAAATATTCTGTAAAATAGAGGAAAATCCTCTAATAACATCAATTAGGATCAGTAGAAGGCACTTGATACAAGACAATAGCCATATTCAAAGTGAAAATAAAAACCACACTTCATCTATGATATAAAAATCCAATTTTTCACATCAAGAAGGAAGTGGTGCTCTAGTAACTCAAACTTAACATATATAGTCCAACATTTTCAGTATAAAGTTTATTTTGTTCTAACTAAAATATCTTGACATAATAAATAGATTTCAAGCCAAAACATCCAGAGTGAGTGTCAATCATATTCTGGGAACGTGGGACTTATTTGATAGCCCCTGGTTGATTAATTCTGATTTCTGCTAAGTAACTGAATGGAGGTTTAATAATATTTTTATTTGTTAAAATATCAAACTATATTCTGTTTAAGTTTAAGTAACCTTCCTTCAAGGCTGCAACAGACCTGCTCTTTCTACCTTTCTATTTTTAAAAGTTGATAACTAGGTTCATAGGCAAACAATGGACATGGATGACAAACATGTCTACAAAATCGGAAATTTTTTTATCTTAAACAATCCCATAAACAAAATAATATACTAATAATGTCCAGGTAAAAAGTTACAAATCCGTAAGTGACGCATTGAGTAAACTGCGAAAGCTATATAATTTCGTACTTCTCAAACAATTTCAGCTAATAACAAAAGTAGTTGCAAGCATTTCTCATGTGTGAACGTATTGTGGAATCATACCATAGCACAACAACAATCATCATTGATAAAGCCGTTCACACACCACACCAGTCATGCTAACGGATTCAGGTCACCGAATCACAGTGTAATAAAACTCCAACCAAAACCCTCCACAGAAAAAAATAAAAGTAAAAACTCTATCGTCACATTCCATTCATTAATCAAAATAAGAGAACCGCATAAGCTCATACACGCTAAAAACCACATCAAACTCAAGAAAAAACCAAACCAAAAAGGCACACCATAGCAGAGGCATAAACACAAACAGGTGGTGGGCATTTCCATGAACATAGATTAATATTTGCACATTAATCCGGTGTTCGATAATCTAACTATTATTAATTTCACAATGCACCAACCGCGTTGATCCATTTCTAAAGAGTGTCAAAACAGGACAGAGTTAACAATCAACCCAAAGACCTACAATATTCACAAAATACTACACTCTACATTGAACACGTCTTACAAACTTAAATGTTTATGACACATAATGTTTTGATATATTAATATGATGATAGTATTATTACGTTATTAACAGTAAATATTAATATGACGACATTATATTTATTTCTTTGAATGAAAAAGACAAAAAATAAAATAGATATATCCAATAATAGAGATGTAGCAATTACAATGACATTTGTTTGGATTTTCAGGCAAATGGTACCACAAAGGGCGGAAGCCCCTAGGCTGAAAATCATTCGAGGGGATACAATACCCCGATAAAAGCAGATTAATTATTAACTTAAAAAGAGAAAGATAAAAAGATAGACCTAAAGTTTGCAAACAAGAGCTGAATAATCCAATTGAATAATAGAAAAAGGAAATTAAATTGAAGAAACGTCACCGTTTAGGGGAAGTTTGTTGCAATCAAAGCCGCAGCCGCACTGGGGGCTCTCGACGAAATTTTCGACGCCAAAGTCAGCGGAAGCGATGCCGACAGAGAAGGAGACATCGCTACCCTGAAGCGTGACCTCGACGATGTTGAGCCAGAGGAGCAAGATTTTGACGGTGACACCCTTGAGATTGTAGAGCCTACCTTTGGAGATCACTCCCGTAATGGTGGGCTTGTATTTGAGCGTGTAAGACTCTATGACGAAGCTGCACGTTCCGTCAAAGTACACTGCAAACTGCCCCGTTTCTCTATTCAGCGAATACCCTATGGCTCCCTTCGGAAGAAGCCCCACCGGAAATCCGTACTCCATAAGAACATCGTACGCTGATAACTTCGTTTGGCTTAACGCGCATGATGCTGTCAAACACACCACCAGGATAAATAGGAATCTAATTGAAGATGACATCGTCGTTAAGGAACACTCGCGCCTGCAAATTTTTCTCTTGTTTTTTTGGAAGATAAGGTAGATAGATACAGAGAGGGGCAGCAAAATAAAAGTAATTAAAAAGGTTTAAAAGTGAGCTTCTTTTCTCACAATTGTCATCATTATTATTAAAAAAATTGAAATAATTAAATGCTAGTCTGTCTATAGATTTTTTATTTATGCTGAAACATTTTTTTCCATTCATCGACTGACTCAATGGCCTACACCCATTGCTTCACTATTTGTTGGGACCTTCTACCCATATTTAATTTTCTGCTCCCCCTCATCTACCATTATTAATTAATGAATATATTATTTTTACAAATATATTTTTGTCATTGAAAAGAGTGTCATCTAAGAACCAAGAAATACTATTACTTTGCGCTTGCGAGGAACTCGTGCCACACGTGAAAAGACTGTCTCCATCGAGGATGCCCAAACGAGGGTATACTATTATTTTTACTCGTTATCAAAGTTTAGTCCAAATTGCCCAACTACAAAACGAATAAGGCATCTGTACAAGGTGTCACAACGGAAAATTTCAAAAAAAAAAAATTACAATTTAGGAGAAATGACAATTCTTGCAAGGTGTAACAACCACAAAAGTTTAAAGAAAATATTTTTCATTTATTACTTAAAATATAAAAGCTACATGATAATAAAAATCCAAAAAAATTGAAAATAATACCAATGTCACCAGACACTACCGGATAAAAAATAATACATTTCTCTTTCTCGCTGTCACGCTCATTCATTCATCTTAAGCTATGTCTCGTTAACTCATTCTACCTTTATGTTATTTTTATTTTTATTTTAAAAGATTCCCTGGGCCGGCCCATTAATTTTTGGGACAAATGGATATTTTCAGTTCATCAATTTATTTTAACCTATTTTTTTAAATCGGTTAATTTATGGGATCGACATTACCTTGGTCGCTTAATTGAAAAAAAAATTATTTTTATTATAATATTATCAATTATAAAAATAATATATAAGATAAAAATTTATGAAAAAATAATATAAAAAATCTCACCTCACTCATTATAAGAATAATTATCCTTTTTTCATTACAAATTCTTTTCCCTCTTTTTCTCTCTATTCTTTATTTATCATCTCTTCTTTCTTCACATGATTTATCTTAGAGTATTGATTGTTTTTACCCTCATAACTTGAATTAAATGTGTGAGAATGACTTAAAAGAGAATAACGTGAAATTTTATCAAATAAAAAATATAATGTAATTTTCGTTCTAGGCATTTAAATTTTTCAATATAAAAAATAAAGATTTTATAAGTTTTGATTTTACCCACATGTATTTGATATTATTTATTATTATATAAAATTTATCTTAATTTAATTGTTTTTAAATTATAATTTTTTAACACAATGTGTCAATTTATATTATTAACTTGAAATATATAAGTTGAATTATTTATAAACAAATGATAATCTTATTATTAATTTTTTTTGAAAATTTGATTTAAAAAAAATTATGGTGGGTCAGCCTACCAACTCACCATTTGATGGGACCAATCAAGATTTACATCTCGTCATGACTATAGCATATCAGTATGTGTTCATCCTATTTTTGGCGGGTCAAAGCGGGGTAGGCCGATTTATTTTGTTATCCCTAATTTTCACATCTCATACTCTCGTGTTGTCTTACTCACCCTCACTCGACACCTCTCACGATTTTCATCAATAATTTTAGAGGATCAAATATTATTATTATTATTATTATTATTATTATTATTATTATTAATAAATAATAAATAAATATAAAAAGTAAAAAAAATATGAAATTATAAAAGGCCAAAATTAAAAATATATATATATATATATATATATATATATATATATATTTAATGATAATTAAGTTTATAGGCTTAAAATCATAAATGTATATGTAAGTTACAAAATTTTATGAGGTCAAAATAATGTATATATAAGTTACAAAATTTTGAGGGTTGTTCTTCTTGTACTCTTATCAGACCTGACAATCTTGTATCAAAATTGACGCTTTTATATCATACTTTCTACTTTCATATTTTTCTTTCAATCTCATATGTGTTTTTGTCTTTTCACCAATTTAGGGTTTTTTTTTTTCTATAAATGTATGCTTATACTTCCTTCATATGAGTAACCTCAATTTAAGGTTTTAAACTAAGTCAAATCCGAACCTTAAACCCACGTGTAAGCTACAAAAACCCTTTGTCTCACTCTTTCTACTTTCATCTTTTCTTCATAATCTAGTAACTTTTTAATGGATTATGTGTTTTTTCTCTTTCACCAATTTAGGGTTTTGGTCTTGTAAATGCATGCTTATACTATTTCATCGAGGTAATCTTGATTTTGAGTTTTTAGAGTAGGTGAAATCTCAACCTTAGACATAGTTAAGCTATAAAATTAGGGTTTATTGTAAACATTTTTCACTTTCTTTAATGGTTCTTCATTTTTGCTTTATTTAGCTTTACCATTGGGTCAAATATCTTTATTTTTTCTTGGCCAAAAAATTTCCTCACTTTTATAGGGTTTATATTTCTTTCTTACTAAAATTGTGAAATGTTTTTGCTTTTTTTTTTAAGTTCTTGGTTCAATTTTACTAAAACCAACATTTTTGTAATGTTTTAAATGTTAGGTTGGCACATGCATGAAAAAGGAAATATCTATAATTTTTTCTTAAAAAAGTTTGTGAAATGAGTGTTTGTACATCATCCATATAACCAAAATTGAATATAATATAACATTCAAATTTGAAATTTGAAATTTTTGCAATAAACAATTTTTCCCATTTTTTTCATGCTTATTCATTATGCAACTTTGTGGTGGATCTTCACCATTCATATGGGATCAAATAATATATTATTAATAAATAATAAATGAATATAAAAAGATAAAAGAATATAAAAGCGTGAGGTCAAATTTGTAAATATATAAGTAGATATATTTAATAATCATTAAGTTTGGGAAGAGCCAAAATCATAAATGTTAATGTAAATTACAAAATTTTAGAAATAATCAGCGTCCAAAATCATAAATGCTAAATGCTAATGTAAATTACAAAATTTTAGGGGGTCACGACCCCTCACTTCCTCCATCACTAGTCCTTATTATGGTTATTGTTATTTACTATTCTCTATTTAGCTTGTCCATTTAAAAAAATGATTACTCTATTTCCAAACTCAACATTGAAAAAGAAAACGAAAAAGTCATATGCCTTTTGTTTGTTCAAATTTCATTAAACGAAAATTTATATTTTCCATGAAATTTATTACGCAAGAACCTTGGACCTCGGGATTCTCTAGCCTTATCTCGTAGGGGACACTTTCCTCTTTCCTTATTAATAATAAATAATACTTTAATATTAATAAAATAAGAAAAAAAATTAAATGATCTTCTTTGTAAAAATTTTAAATGAAAAAGTTATATTGAAAAAATTGTATAAAATAAAAAAAACTTACAATGAATAAAAAGTATAATCAATGAAATTATGTAATACAAAATTTTAAAAATACCTAATTGATTTCTATAACGACATAATATAATGTAAACACATTTGTATAATATGCAATAATAATAAACTAAAATAGATTAGTATAATAATCTATAAATTTGATATATTGCATGAAAAAAGATAAATCTAGTCATGAATATTGTAAATTTATACTACACAATACATATTACGCAATTAAACAATAAAGGAAGAAAAAAATAAACAATGACAAATTATAATTTGTAAAGTATTTATATAATTGTTAATAAAAACTTACCAATTATACAATTTCATGATCATTGAATGAGCATAATTTTGAAGCAATAATGAACATCATAAATCCGCATTTTCATAGAGTAAATAGTTAAAAAAAAGTTACAACAAATAAATGAAGTAAACATGTAGTTTTTGGTATAATAGTGTAACTGCAAGTGTTTAGAGGTTTCCAAAAATTTCTTTCTACACTACATTTTTAGTACATGATGTTACATTTCCTTCTTCATCCAATATAAGCATTTTCAGTCCTTTCTTTGTTTTGACTCTAGAAATGGCCACAGAGAACTGACCATGAGTGAATAATGGACGTGGAAGATAAAGTCTAACTTTAGAGAGTGATTGGTCTTGACTCTTATTGATTGTCATTACAAAACACAATGATAATGAAAATTGTCTTCTTTGAAACTTAAAAGAAAATTCAAGATCAAAAGGAATCAAATTCATTCTTGGTATAAAGCTTTTGTCTCCAATATTTTTCCTAGCAATCACAGTAGTTGAAATGACATTCCTTCCCAAATCATTTACATGCAATCTTGTTCTGTTACATAAACCATTTGCTTAATCAATATTTCTCAACAACATTATGGGAACACCAACTTTTAATCTGAGTCGATGAGTTGAAATACCTGAACATTTAATGCCATTAAGAAATTCAGATGTAAATCATTAATCTTGTGTTTCCTGATCCTCATCTGATTGACATGGTGTATCAGAACTCAAGTATATTTTTCTTCACCAGGAATCAAAGATAAAATAAAATTATTAACTTCCTCAACTGCATCAATAATAGGACAAAGTATGACTCCATCATCAAAATTACCAACAGACATCATGTTATGCACGAAATAAGGTAAACAAAATTAACTAATGAAAGTAAAGGTGTTTCATTGTCTTCAATTAAAAGATCTTTGGGTACGTCAATATGTCCTTCACCATTTTCATTCAAAGGCGTATCTCCATCTCCAATCTTTAATATCCAATCAGCAAATTCTTTTATATCTTTTGTACTATCATTTGTTTTGTAGTATTTAACCTCATATTCTTTGTAAGCTTTAGAACTTCACAATTTATCCATGTTTCAGAATAATTTATAGATGACTTCACCATATCATGTCTTGATCCCTTTCTAACAACAGGCAAAATTTGCCTAAAATTGCCTCCTAACACAATAACTTTACCACCAAATGGTTTATCATGATTCTCTACATTTGTT